ATCCAACAGAAAGGATTAAATTGATCATGCGTGATCGATCGCACGTATGACACAAAATTGTCGATCGGATTTGCATTTATCATAACGTAATCGATAAGGTCAATTTATTCGAAGGAAATTGTCGATCCCATTCGCGCTTTAAGGTAACTGATAGATTCATCGATAAACTCCCTTAACGAGCGACTCGTTGCCGAGAGATAAGTCGCTCTGCCACGCGTGTCAGAAAAGTCGATGGACAATCGTGTTGTCGGGAAAGCCGGGTCGTAACTCTTTCATTAATTGGCTCATTAATGCAATCATTTCCTCGGATCAGTCTCGATCGCGCGCGATCTCGACTTAGCGCATTTGGCCACATTTAAACACACTATTTCAAAATCGTGCTATCGTTTCTTACAAGAATATTGTGTATACTCGCGATGTGGCTTTCGCAGTGAAAAAGACAATTATACAATTATAGAATACAAATATAAAAATTGATTGCAATAAAATCAATATAACTTTTTGTGACAAGCTTTAAACAGGGCGTTTTTCATATAAAGCCAACAATGCACATCCAAACATTTCAGTCATGCTTACTATTTATATAAAATATAAAATATAAAATATATAAAATTATATAAAATAATAAATTACATAAAATATATACAAAGATACATTTTTACTTAAAAAATTTTATTATTTTAAATTATAGATAGTCCTAATAACTATTTACTTTTTTAGAATATTGCTTGTTCAAATGAGCCTTAAACTGTCTCGTTTTAAATTAAGGCTTTAAGGTCCGCAAGGGGCAACATAAATTCTAATTCCGAACGAGAGAGAAGCGAGAGAGAAAAAGCACATAACGACAATTGTGGTTAATTAATGGCGCATGTCGCGAATTCGCATGGAATTCCACGATATAATCCAGAATTCGCGATACAAGAACCGCTCTTCTATTTATATAAAGATATCTCTATAGGATTAACATCGAAATGATGTCGATTGGCGCGAAGCAACATCGACTCGGCGTCCTTGCAAAGAGAAAATCGCGAAATCCTTTCTGGAAACTTTTGCACCGTAAATAACTATTTTTCAAAAGTAACATGAACGATTGTACTATATATTTTTAGGAATACAAAAATCTCAAAAGTACTTCTCGTATAAAATATGTAACACGATAAAATATATAAATAAAAGAGTAAAATTTAAAATATATTATTAAAATATAATATTTTTAAAAAATCAATAAGACGGCAATTAAATTATTTTTACTGAATGACTAACATAATTGAAGGATTAATATTTCTGGATCGATATTATGCAAGGTAGCACCGTGCTCAAAGATAGTTTCAACCGACTTCTATATAAGGTCTACCATCGAGAGGCGCCCGGTATTTGTCATTTCCGACAGGAAAGGCCACGCGCCGTCGCTCTTGGCTTCTTTCGGGATATCGTAATTAATATGGAGTGCCTGTCAACCTTTAACTGCATGACAAGTGCTATTCTCCAATGTTTTAAAAAATGTTTTTCACGAAGCTGCTTCAATATCAAAAGTCTTTTGCGCGTCACGAAGTTCACGATTTAATAGATTTACGGATGATTGAGTGAAAGATATTTTTTAATTTATTTTAAAATTAAATTATTATTATTATGAATTAATCACTAAAGATCATATTTCTCTTTTCGATATACGAAGATATATTAAATGTTATGTAACACTAGTTTCAATCGGAGAGAAATCAATTCGAATTTTTAACTATAAATTCGTGAAAATAATACTAAAGTATAAAAGTTATTAAAAGATTATTCAGAGAAAATGCATACAAAATTCCAAATATAATTAAATATTCCTCCTATCGCTACATTTCATTAGGCTGTCATGCATATTGCATGCAGACCCCTCCCTTACCGTGTATAAAAGGAGTAAAAAAATTACAGTCTGTAAAAACCACCGCAAACTATAGAAAAAGGAAAGAAACAGAAAAGAGCTCCCAGAAGTGCCAGTATCGAGAGCACCGAGGTTCCTTATCGCTTCTCGTTGCGTACCTTATTATGCTCTCTGCTTGGCCACTCGTCACGGCTCGTAAAGTCGATATATGCAAAAGCATTGCCTCGCCCTCCCTCTGTTTCTCAACCCAATCTACCACCCTTGCTAAGAAATTCCAGCACTTCACCTCGAGATTTGCCGTAATCCTTAAACCGGATTCAGACTAAAGTGCATTGCGCTTCGTTCTACAATTCGAACATATCTAGTGCTGAATATTGAGGCTCATATATATCCTCTTATATGTCATAGATGCCCTCTTTTTAATCTCACCTAATGTAATGTTTCAATTAAGCTTAAAATATACATCATATTCAATATGACCTGCGTTTCTATTTAATTTTTTTCGTTTTTTTATTCTTTGTACAGTTTTTATTTCTCTCGTATTTGTATATATAATTCAAATTAAAAAGAACTTTTCAAATTAAAAAGAACTTTTTACTGCAGCTGTGCTGAATTATGAAATTATTAAGCAAGATATATTGATTTTTTTCTGTGGAATATGTCAAAGTAAATTACTTCTTTTCTGTATATCATTAATCTCGCGTTTAACAATTATTCTTCGCTATTATAAATTGATTAAATCTGATGAAAATTTTATTTTTATTATCCTGCACCAGTAAAAGCATGCATAACTCAATCTCTGCATGTGTCCTACATTTTCAGAAAATAAACTTCGTGATACAAGATTTAAAGCTGTTAATTAATTCAAAATTCGAAAAGAATATTTGAAGCATCAATTTTATCGAATCCAAATAAATGATGCGAATAAATGAAAGAAATTAGTATTCATTTCGTAAAAGTATTTAAGCGCAGGACATATTTTAATATCACAATTAATTGCTAAGTGGAAAATTAGAAGTGTCGATACAAGTTTTGCAAAGATTCGCGCAATGTCACGACACGATCGTGGTCTGAATCCGGCTTTAAGGTGCATACCCGATGCTCCGCCAGCCGATGACTTTCTCCGAGTTGGCACATACGGAACGCACGCGATTTTATCGTCCTCTCCTGCCTACTCTAAATATTTCTCTGGCATGAATTTATAACGACGACGCTGCTAATAACAAGCGCGGTCCGCGGCCCGATACTCCGGCATTTATACGATCGGATACTCGTCGCAAATCCGGTGGGCATTATGAGCGCACGGTGCGCTCGATGGGGCCCGTGGCGATGAATGGAGCTCGTTTCGGTGCACGGCTCGAGCAACTGCGTTGAATCGTCGTCGTAGATCAGTGAAAGTCCCGGACCGTTCCACGATCGCGATCGATCGCACGGTATCGTTCCGGGAAATATTACGTCCGGCGTCACGTTGTAAAATACAATCTAAGGTAAAAATCTAAGATATCAGGTATCGTAGAAGATCATGCTCTTGAGCAGCATATTTTAATTAACGAATCAATAATAATAATGCATTCGTTTTGGCAATTCATCTTTTTTACTTTTTTATTTCTCCGGTAATAACTGCTTGATGATATTCATCGTTCTATCGCCGTGACATTTATCTCGGTACGTATACAAAATGCACGAACCTTGCGCTCGTTATTTCCACGCGACTGTGGCCTGACATGAGAGCGTCACGATTGCCGACCGCATTAATCGAGTAATTAAAGCATTATTCATTGTGTCCCGCATTTTTTTTAACGCCCTAATTTGCCGTGCCCTTAATGACTTGTTAAAATTGCTTTAATAATGCCTGAGCTAATAAGCTGAGACCGTGTACACCGTCGACAGTCGATCGGTCACGCTACAAGTGACTACTCGATCCGCTGCTGCAGGCGAGTAGTCGTGTGGGAGATACAAATTGTGTACACGTGTTTTTTCCTTTTTGTTTTCAACATCAAGTCCATAAAAGCCCCCCAGTGATTTTGACATACAAGTTTTATTTCCTGTCGCTCGTCGAACAAAAAAATATGCACATACTGTCACAAACATATGATTTCAATTTCGCTTAAGCCGACATCTGTATTAGTCATCATGCATCTGGCAGAAATAATGTTATCATAAATATATCGAAAAAGAAAACAAATATGAATACATTTTGCGAATCAAGTATGTGTTTCACTATCAAATTATGATTAAAATACTGATATTAAATTTTATTCTTTTAATTATTGCTGAATAATTAACTGGAAATTGATATCAAGTGTCTTAGATCGTTGGAATTAATATCAAAGAAGATGTTATTAATTTATGCTCGAATTTTCACAGACGCATTAACAGAATAATAGTGATACCGACATATTTTAAAAATGTAGATTAAAAGAGCTCTTTTAACAGGCTACTCTTTGCTCTCCCTACTGCGCATTAGGCTCGATCGTAATTCACACCACGCAGGACGAAGAGCTTCCGCTGGACGTCACACACATCCTTCTTCCTCCTCGTCACGATGCACACGTGCACTTTTGATGCGTTTTAGCGCGTGTCGCGTGGGTTCGTGAAAATGAATGGGGAAAAAATTTCGAGGGGAAATTGAATTTTAAATTTGTCTAGCATCATGCAAAAAATTTTCACATTTTTAACGTATACTCAAATTTCGTGCTATACTATTAACATTAAGTAATGTCTCTCTCTGTTTCATTTAATGTTTAATATATTCTTAATATATATAAAATATTTTTGAATACAGGGAAAGACTTGCAAGTTATGTATCGTTTCGAATAACAATTTGTTATAAAATGTACAAAAAAATTATATTCTGAAAGTTTTATTATTTTTGTATATGTAATCATACTTTCACGATACTGTGTACAGGCGGATGTTTACCAAGCGGCGAGAAAATAAACGCGGAAAGAGCGGAGAACGTGACAATCGTGTTCTAGAATTGAGGCCAATGGGTATCTCGATCGGGGAATTTTTCGACGATGATAGCCGCGCGATAAGGATCGCCTCGTTATGACTGTACGAGCGCTTAACCGCACGGATAATCGTGCTTCCGCGATAGTTATAGCTTAGGCAAATCATTCGTGACACTTACTTTGCATAGAGCGACGCCGGTGTCCAGCCTGTCCATAAAATTGTCCAGATTGATCCTGAGCTCTGGATATAGGGCGTTCAGCCATTCAGCCAGGTCCTCTTTCATCGCTATCAGGTACTCCTCCGAGGACTTGAACGGCCTGTACGATCTACCTTCCAGTAACACCGACATGGTTTCAACTATTCGAAAACTGAAAGCAGAGAGATATTACGTTATATTAAAAATTTGATATTAAAAATTATATATTAGATTTAAAAGAAAATTAAATTTAAAACTGATACTTTTGTTTTTTTTTCACACTTTTATATTTAAATAAATAAAAATTTGAAAACTTTTCCACACTATATTATTAATTTTATTTTGTCTACTTTCTTAAATTTAAATATCATGTAATAAATTAAGTTTTTTATTATATTGACACATTATTTCATATTAATCATAAATTTAAATTTTCCACTTAATTAATATTTTACACTTTCGATTTACCACGAATTTCGCATCTTATACAATAGTTTTCCGCTTCTGCTTGTCTAGAGCATTCAGAGAGAACTAACGTAACTGAAGAAACTTCAGTCCTACAAGGGAGAAAACTTCTCCCACTCTTTGAAAATCTCAAAGGATATTCATAGCTAGTGGGGAACTTCATTGAGTACAATTCGTAGAATCCTGAAATTTTTGAAATGTTTGAATGCCTATTTACTGCATCTTCAAACAATTGCATAAAGAATAGTCTTCTCTCTATATACATTTATTTTTCTCTATTTTCTTTCAAGTTTTTCTTTTTTTCTTTTTAATGTTTTTTTTCTTTTTAGTGTGTTCAATACTTGACCATATATTTTTTTCAATAGAGTCATTGTTATGTTAGCTGCATTTTTCAACTTACTGTTCCTTTAGGTTTTTGTATATTTTTACATGGAATGCAATACAGAAAATGTAATATAGGACAGTTAAAGAAGACAAATTATCTTGCGTCCTAGTTTACGATAGATATGCAATTCCCATGATTTTTCACAAACCTTGAAAGATCGCGGAAAAAATCACGATCAACGTTATTTATCGTCCCGATGAAAGCTATATTCGTTATGTCCAGGAATTGCAATGCGCCGCTAACGGAATCCCGATTCGTTTTCTCACGCGATATTTCTACGTCCAGATACCGTTGCGTATGCAAATCCGCGGGCATTATTTCGCGATGCAAGAGGCAGATTATAAACATCCGATGAATAAAAAAACGCGAAACCAGACAATAGCCACTCCGAGTGTCGTTGTTGACAATGACGCGGTCAGCCCCGCGATATTTTCTCCATAACTTGTCATTCACAACCACCCTGTACGTATATATGATACATATCAATATATGTCTATTACAGTTGCATTTCACACGACATTTTTTATACGTGATAGAATCTCGATTACACGATTTGAATTAATCAAATATGAATAAATTTTACCTTAAACTCAATTGTATATTTAATTGTCGAATCATATAACTTTTTTTATTTATTTTCTACATTTTTTTCTTTAATAAATAGAACAACACGACAAGAAAACTAGCGATTACGAGCCACAGCGGATGGTAATGCCTAAAAATTCTTTAATTATACGAAAATTTAAACGAGAACGAGGCATATGCATATATTTTACTTGGTGCATTTACCAAGTAAAATATATGCATATGCCTCGTTCTCGTTTAAATTTTCGCATACAATTAAAGGATTTTTAGGCATTATCATCCGCCGATGATTATCATCGATATAGATTCTCATTTTTGAGAATTCTATAAATCCTCTTTATCCCCCTGAAGAGATTTAGACGAGAAAAATATCGGGGCGAAGTCGCTGAATCGGGAATCGAACCCGAGTCTTTCGCTTGCCGGGCGACTGTTCTTACCACTGAGTTATTCAGCCCCACACCGATATCCCTCTCGTCTATTTGTTTATAACTATAGAAAAGATGTATATTATTTTTTTTCAAAATTTTTTTAGTTAATAAATAGAGTTATTGTTATGTTAGCATTTTTCAACTTACTGCATTTTTCAACTTACTGTTCCTTTATATTTTTGTATTTCTCAATTTTCTTTCAATTTTTCTTCCCTACTTTCTCTCTTACGATAGATTTATTTCTTTTTTGAATACATTTCTCAATTTTCTTTCAATTTTTCTTCCCTACTTTCTCTTTTACTAGTATTAATAAGATAGATTTATTTCTTTTTTTTGAATGCATAACGTTTTACTGTCTTGTCTATTGAGTCATTCAATCTCTATTTCTTTTCAGACGGTGACGCACATAAATCTCCATCAGCAGCATTGTATACAACTCATCGAGTAATGCACAGGTTAATAGTATCGAGAGCCAAGTCGCAAGTGAAATCATTGTAAGACATTGCTTTGATATACTTTGAATAGCATCGAGTCACACAATGACATTTAGCGCGCTTGACTTTCATTGAATGAAAATCTCAGTGTGACGTTACGAATAAATCTGCACCGCGCCTTCAAATTGAGGAGCAAAATTTGAATAAATATCGGATAATTACACATCTACATTGTCGGATTTGAAAGAAAATTTGAGATAATTAAAATTAATTGTTAGCAAATAGAATCTAGTCATCTATTTCTTTAAAAATCTTCAACAATTATAATATTTTATTATTTGAAAAAAAATAATATACATATTTTTCTCCTTCTAACAATTCTGAGATCATTGGCCGGTGTGCAAAAAATTAAATACTCTCTCCCACTCTCTAAATATTTATTTTTTAACCGTCTGCATGTGTTGACCAGAGAAAATAATCGTGGGAAATGGTCCACACAAGCGTCGCCAGCATAATATTTAACAGCCATAAAACCTCCATTCATAGGACCCCATGAAGCTCCATTTCAGTATGGTCCCCCTCTAATTCGACGAACCTTCATCAAGGGTTGACCGAAGCTGGTTTGAAAATCATGGTTCAATAATACGCAAACACGTTACACGAAATTTAACTTACAATTAGCAAATAATTTTAATTCGAAATTTAATTTAAATTTGAAAGTGAAATATATGACAATGGCTGATCAACTTTCAAAGAGAATATCGGCTTCAACTACTCGAAAAAAATACTTGAAAAGAGATTTGATGATTTCGGACTCTATAATTGATTAATTAATAGTATCACATATATCCAAAGAATGATGAAAAAAAAAGATTAGAATAAAAAGATATCGAAAGAGGAATCGATGCATAAAAAGGAAGTGGATCGTAAATATATGAGATTAAAGATTCGTGTGCCGACAGCGACGATCACGGATTATGATATAAAAGGCTGCAAAATGTCATCGTATCACGTTTCTCACGAGACGACGCGACGCAGGCGTCTCGCTCCATATTGTTGGCGCCTATTTGCCGCATCGGAAATGCACTGTCTGAAAATGCTAAAGTTTAAATCGATAGATTGAATGAATAAAACGATTCGCGGGAACGGCTTATTTGGAGCAAATAGTCCTCGAATATAACGTCCTATCGATTCTTCTTCGAACGTCAAAGCGACGAGCGTGAAAATAATTTACGATACAATTATCTTGTATCTAAAGAATGCTATGTTCCGAATGTAGGCTATAAGCTTGATAAAATATATACGAATTATATAGTCATATTTAATTTAATAATTTAATTTAATAATTTTAATGAAACGCAAATGATAAATTTAGTTAAAACACACACTATTCTGACTTTAGACGTTAACATGTAAATATTATAAAGTTATGTTATTTTAAATTAAAAAAGAAATAGAAAAAAGATATTGTTCAACGATATACACGGTGAATAAAAGACGAGAGTACGTTTGTCAGCGGTTGGTGGCTAATTTACGGGCTAACTTACAATCTTTATCGTTACCTGCGAAGCTGAAGGTCGCTAAATCACAGCGGGGTTGCGAGCATGTAAAACATCGTTACACTCCGCCGGAGTTGTATCCGTGGGTTTTATAAATGTCAGCGCAGCGCGAATGTCTAATAGAAGGAATCTATTAGAGATTCGCGCGGAGATGCAACCGTGAAATTCAATCTTTAAACACGTACGCTTTTTTTGTAGTCGTAAGTGAAAGATGTATTCGGAAATTTATAGTGTCCTTCTTTATTTCACGTAAAGTAAATTTAACGGAATTTTATGAATTTCTTGTTTCGTACGATTTTGTGATAAATAATTGATAATTCTAGTGTTGAATACCAATTATCGATGTTAATATCTTATCAATAAGAATATTTCATAATTTATAACTTAACTCGTTTTATGGTTGTATCACATTTCATATAATTATTTTTTGTAGATATGAAATTCTTGTTATTCGTGACGAATAAAATTCTATAAAATTCGTATTTAAAATCCTACGACTCATTATTTTAAAATCGAAATTTTACCGAAATTTATGAAAAATATAAAAAGATTATTAATAGAGAAATTATATATAATACGTTTTCGGATTTGTATTATAAAAATTATTAAGATAGAAAAATTCAGTATTGAATGCCAATTATCAACGTTAATCTTATCAACATAAGAGTATTTCATAATTTATGGCATAGCTAGTTTTATGATTGTATCCATTCCATATAATTATTTTTGTAGATATAAAATTCTTATTGTTGTTACGAGTAAAATTCTATAAAATCCGCATTTAAAATCCTATGACTCATTATTAATACGTTTTCGGATTGTATTATAAAAATTATTAAGAAATAAAAATTCAAAGGTAATGAAAATAACCATATAATAAAAATAATTATTTTTCAGATTAATATTACTTAAGACTTCAAACTTCTGCAAAAGTATAATCGCGTTTCTGATGTACGCAGCTTTTCATGACACTGCGTGCGAATGCTATGATGCACCGTTATGTCACGTGTGGCGTATCTTTAAAGTACGCTCACGTAGGTAAACTTACGAATGCGCTTTCATAGGGAACGAAGCGTGCGCGCGATATCCATAGGGCAACCAACTCTTAATATTCCGTCCCTTTCGTGTCGCTCGATGGAATAATAAAGAGCCGACTCAAGGGCTCGCGGACCCCTTTCTTGAGATATCAATGCGAATAACAAAGTCGCGCATTCGAAGGAAAATACATGCGTGATATCGTGCGATGATTTTCAAGAAATTCAGTTGCGACTCGCAATAAGTCACACGAAGTGAATTAAATCTTTCAAATATCTTCT